ACCACCCGAAGCGCCCAAAGGTTTGTAGCAGCATTGGTAACAGTCTGCCAAGGTTCCCAAATAAGTGACTCACAAATTTTAAATTTATACAAGGATCATGCCCCAAATAGAACTATGATAGCCAGTCAGTCTTTAACATTATTTGGTGGTGTTCACTGCTTTATCATTAAATGATTAACACCTTTGAAGTTGAGCTCAGATTTTGTTGGAGGAACACACTGCGTTTGGCCATGCAAGGCCTTGGTCTGGCGCCACCAGTCGTCTGTCACGGACTGACTGCACAGGCAGGTTCCAGGGACATAGTAGTCATCAGCAAGGCTGTCCATCGTCCAAGCTGACAGGGTAGAAGAAATCAGGTTTTGATCAAAATCAGAACTACCCTATACAGAGCAAATGACGATGATGATGAATATTAATGACCACTAAATTATTAAGTTGAACGAATTATTATCCATAATAGTTTTTTCAGAAAGCGATGTCAATAATCTTGGACTGTTTCCCGCCTCCGTGTTCCCACTTGTAAAAGTCTGAAGCTGCTTTCAACGTCTCCAGAAACTCACTTGGGCAACGGATAACCCCATAGATCACCTTCTTGAGATCGTCTTTGATGCGGAACGCCTGCTCAAGACAGGAGAGTGGAGAGCAATGTGTAGGATTTATACATAATAACCTGTTATGAGTGATATGGACAGGTTGCAGAGATATGAAACTGTATAGGAACAAGTTTTAGTCACTGAAGGATCTAGTACTATATGAAGATTCACAATCAGCCTGACTGAGTTCCGAAAACTAGGATCCAGCCTTGTTCGAAGTCAGTTTGTTGTAGTCCGCGATAGCCTTTGAGAGCAAATCTCTGACAGCAGCGCGTCTCGTGGTGAGGCGCTTGACTCGAACTGCTTCCTCACCATGTGACTTGCAGGAGAGCAACCGAGGGCAATGGGATTTGTTGGGTCATGTTAGGTCTTTCAGAAACACTATGGCTTACAAGGTCCAAGGTTCCTTAAAGAAGAGAGTCAGCTCAAGTGGTCCAGGTCGTTGCTTTTCAGCTGTTCGATTTGCAAGACCTTTACATTAAACATGCCGAGATGGAATCAAATTCAAAACATTGATTTTGAGCAAATAGTACTTGATGCTAAGTATACTGACTATCACCTGAGGATTGAACTCAGAGCTTCATACATACACTGTTCCGGAGTGGTGAAGTGGCTGTAGTTCACGCGGATGTACTTGAGGGAGGCAATGAGTTCGATCATGTCCTTGTCGGCAATGATCTCATCATGGGTCACTTCCTTCAGTCAGATCATCACCAGAAGTTGAAACTGATGATTTTGGGTCAATGTAGCAACAGCAGTCATTGATGTCAAGAAGATTGTCATATAGCATCTCACACTGAATGCTAAGTATCCAAGTGATCCAGCAACGCGAACACAGCGAGGACCATAATGGCTTTCCCATGTCCATCAACGTATTGAACTGAAAAGTGTGGGACCTCCTTTCCTGTACCAAACAGGTCCTCAGGAAATTTGATCTCCAGCGGCTCCCTTTCGGTTTCAAATCCCCTCTGCACAACACTGGGAAAGTGAGTCCTGATGGCCACATTGCTCGGCCATTTGCCAATGTGGCCGAACTTCGCGCCTTCCCCCATGTCAAGGTGGAACGGGTTCACATACACCCCAGCACGCGAGGCCACAGGAACATGTGTCAGGACTTGCGGCGCAGAAGTTTCAAACTTCTTACGCACACACTCAGCAACCTCTGGCAAGGCAAAGAGGTCCAGCATTACCTCCCACAGAATGTAATCTGAAGTTGAAGTTTGGATGAACAACGTGAAACAAAATGCAGTGAAACAGTGGTTCATGTTATTAATTCATGACTGATAATCACACCCAACCTTGGCAAACCGCCGTCTGGTGCCATCGTCCACGTTGAACTTTGAGTCGATAAACTTACCCATATTGCCAATGGATGTCACCTGACATGATATGGCCGGTTCTAGGAATTGATGTGGTTTATTTTCGCACTGCTAATCAAAATGTTACTGATCATTCTGTGATTTTCAGTAATTCTTGGGTGTCAAACCTGGCCTCTTCCATAGCATTAATCAACCGGGTCTTCAAAGGTGCCAAGCTGGGGGCATCTTGGTCACTACCGCTGTCATTGCCATCGTCAAAGTTTTCAGCCTTGCAAGCCAGTAGATTCATTTTATTGTAAGTGACTTGGCTTTGGCAGTAAGAAAGCGTTGGGTGTAAAGTTACTATACAAGTCAAGATTGGTCGGTTTCATCCAGCCTTCACAGCCACCTCAGCCATTGTTCTGGCTACTTTGCAGCCCACGGGCTGTGAGATTGAAAACAGCTGTTGGAATTCATCGCAGGGTCAAACACATTGAAGTGACACATAATATTCAAGATACTCGTCGAGTATCTTGAATATTATGTGTCGTGTTTCCATGCTACTGCCACTGCAACCGCATATTTGACTCAACCACATTCCCTCATTTTTCCCCTTTCAGTAGTACCTGTGAAATTTCACCTGAAGTTTGCGCACATTGTGCGGTTCAGGATCCTTCAGCAATGGATTGCCACGCTGGATACCAGGCACGGGCCCAGACAAAATCCATGAGAGCTTGGTAGGCTGTGTACGTTTGACAGCAACCTTTCCTGCCAACTGAAGCAAATAGTGGGATCCCTTTGCATACTGTGGCAAGTTTTTAGTGAAGTATGCGGCCAATTCTACCAGTGTAACAGACCGTTCATCTGTGCAAGACACTTGGGTACCTCAGATGATAGCAAAATAGGAAACTTAAATCCATGGGAGGTCGGCTGACACAAAGTCTTGCTGAACAAAGTCATCAGAGAAAAGAGCAAGGCGAGGTGCAGGGGGCATCGGGTCTGGCTAGGCGTTTCAAGGCATCCATAAAATCAGATATCTTAGATCCCGGAAGGCACAACAAAGCTGGTTGGCTCAGCGCAGAGTCGCTCACAAACGCCTTGATAAGGCAAAAGACGTCGCTGTCATGTCTCTCATACCAAGAGGGCAAACGTTGGTTTGCCTCGTCCAGTAGTGAAGATGGCATACCTCAGCACCGGAAGAGGCTAGAGAGACTTAAGGCAAGTGGTCTAGGTTCAAATAAAATCAAATAAAAACAGGCAAATTCTCAGAAGAGACTGACTACCTAGGTTTCAATATGACCAGGCACTTTGTCGACAGATAAAGGTGAAGGAATGGGGCACAACATCTTTGTCTTTTATGGTTGGACGACGGTAGGCTCCGTGCAAAGTTGCAACTCTTGGTAAGCTTCCGGTCCAATTTCTGACATTAGTCACATATTCCACTTTGAATTCCAAGCCTTTGCGTGTGAACAAAGGTGCCACCTTCGAGAGAAGAAGCCTTGGGCACAAACATGAAAGCGAACTAAATCTAATCTAATATTGTTACCCATAGGATCCATGTATGCTATATATGGTAACATGTACCATCAATATACCCCAAATGTTAGCATATATACCATACATGGATCCTATGGGTTATATAATTCGAACTTTCTAAGATACACCACTTCCAGGCTTTATAAGATCCAGACTGCACTACGTCTTCAGGATTTTGCCTGCTTTGCAGGCCAAGACCAAGGATTAGCAGGAATGTTTTTTGAGGACCAGGCAAGTTTTCATCTCCTTCACGGATGAATCGGGATAGTAAACCAAAATATGCGTCTCAGCAAGTCAAGGTAGTTTGAATTTAAATTGGTTTTAGGTGTCATCAATCATAGTCAAATCACATAATAATGTGCAGTTCAAATCTACTTCAAGTCAAGATTCCCACGTCTTCGTGCGTGTGTCCAACCGGTAAGTGCTCGTGACTTATGCACCGGTAAAAACCAGCACAAGTCAGAGCTGAGCACCAGGCCCCAAAGAGCCCGTTCTTGACTTCCTTAAAGGCCCAGAGGTCTGAAGCACATAGAAAGGAGCGATGAAACATTAATAACAACAAACATCATTCAGGGTGACATACTAAGACTAACTAGTAACCAGGAAAATCATTACCATATCCCGTTGCAAGCTAGGGTTCTTTGGGAGTGTTATCTGAAAATATACGGAGTGAAGCTGGTTGAGGCTTGTTTGTTTTCTGGAGAAAGGTTGATGTGTGCTGCAAAGATCGGTTCAAAGTCTCGAGAACCCAATTCGTCCCAGCTGTCTGGTTTTCGTCACCCAAGTATGTAAAAATTCCAACACCGTGCACCATTTGTGTTGTGACTTCCAAAGACGGTCTGTCAATTGTTGCGACATCTTTAGGCGCTCTTCCACCATGGTATCGGGGCAGGGAGTATTTCGACCGGTCCATTGAGTCAGTGATTAAACACAATAGGTCACCCGTTGTTTTTGACCTTGATCGACATTCGTGGTAGACAGCACGGTCTTGGAACTGACCAGCAAGGTGGCGAAGGAGTTTGTCTGAAGCACCCGTTTGCTCCACAATCCCCTGAGCATGCTGTATCTTCGATTTGAGTTGATGGCAGATTGTACACTTTGAATGCGCACTAGGCGGTGAAAATTTTATTTTCTTCTTCCAACCAGATTCAGCAAGTACGCGATAAAATGTGGTCGAAGAGGCAACCTTTTCATCAGCTGCTGCTTGATGTGCGCAATACAAAGTGTATAAGTCATGAAAAACTCCCATGTGGCAGCCACCTCCGTGGTAGATCGTCGCATGATTTCCTGATAGCAAACCTGGCTAGGTCACTTTCTAAGGCACTGTCCACCAAAGCTTTGAGGAGTTTCTCTCTGGCACCCTTTGTAGTGATGTCTTTTGTCCCCTTCACATCAAGCCTTAGGTAACCAGGTAGACAAGGAAGGATATAGGGACGAAGGGCAGTAGAGGCGGTGTCCAAACATTTTTTATGAAAACCACCAAGTAGGACATCAGAATTGAAATGGTTCAATAAGTGTGTTAAGTAAGATAAGCAACTCATGAGGCAGAGTTTCTCCAATCGTCCAGTAAGTCCTTTCTAGGAATGAACTTATGGATGCGGCAGCTTCAGCAGAACGATTGCCACCACAACCTGCAAGTCAATGGTATAGAGGTTCAAGCTAACAGGACCAGGATTGAGAGGCAAAACGGCATGGCTATCATTTCTTAACTTATTATTTCCTTTTTTAACACAGGGATTCAGGAACAGGAGTGCTGATGAGAAACTCAGGGTCCGGAAATCAACTCCTTTGAAAGTTTTCCGAGTCCTCACCAGCCGCGAGGCACTTACGCCCAAGAGCTTGAGAAAACTTTGCCGGCACACAGGATGACCTGGCAGCGCAGCACTTAGTCTGATTTTGGGAAGCATTAAAATCACTGCCAACTAAATTGATATGACGAAGCTGGTTGGATTTGAACTTGACTGAAATTGATTGACTGAATCCCCGCCTTCGAACGACCAAGTAATCCTGTGACTTGGTTGGCCAGTGCTCTCTGAATCAGAGTCAAATCCTTCGTCTTGATCGTCACTGACGACATGGCATTGCTGCATCGACCACAAAATGCAATCTTGGCTTACTTTTGGCAGCATCCAAAAGAAACTTACAACCTTCAAAACCAGCTTCCATCGCAAGTGCTTTTTGCATTTCTTTTGACAACATGGTTCTTTCAAAACCTTTTTGATTCGATCTGGATTTTTGGCCTGCCTGGCATATACAGATAAGTCATTCTCTGTTTGCCCTTCGTTCATGGCCACCAATTGGCTCAGCATCAGGCCCGAAGCTGGTCGGAGTGGATCGCCCAGCTCATCACTGCTGGAGGACACCGAACTGGACACTGACTCTGACCTGACACGCCTCCTTTTGTTCGAAGGCGCTGAATCAGAAGAGGTATCAGGCACATCAAAGCGCTGAAGCATGGCCAGAAAGAGACTATTTATTGTAAAATGATATTGATATTTTTTATTATCTGACTTAGACTTAGACTTAGACAGTAACGCTGAGGAAGAGGATATGAGAGGATGCCACACTGTTTCTCAGAGCCAGTTTTTTGTTATTCAGCTAGTCGTATTTCAAAGTAGGTAATTAAAACTGAAAACCATGTGGGTCGATGTCATCTGAACATCTGACATGTCAAGAGCTAAGCACCCTTTCCTGGTTTGAGCAATTTGTGAAGCGAACTCTTAGTCAAATCTTGTGATTGACATTGCTGGCTGATAGATGGAAAGCTTTGACTAAACTGTTTCCTGCGAGAAGAGTTGCCGCTAGTGATTCCAAAACAGACCTTTGCCGCCTTTGCCATTACTTTTTTTTCATGGCTTCTCTGTAAAACTTTGCAATATCCAGCGCACTGAAAGCTAACGCCCACGCCGCTGCACAGGATCTGACGCTCATAGCCTCAAAGGATTGGAAGGCGGGACACTCAAGGGGAGTGGAATTGTATTCTGAATTGGCTTTCTAAACCACATTGAAATCACTGGGTGAAAATAAGATCTAAGACAGGAGCGTTTCCTGCAAGGGAATGCAATTCCTGCAATGAAAGAATTTTCAAAGGTGAGACTATTCAAAAAAGCACCATCTCAGTTTGATTTTTTCAGATTCTGTGATATCTTAATGTCCTCTTCTGAAAGATGACTGACACATAGCCTGTGGACCGGGAAGCCCATGAAGATGAATTTCTCCAAGCCTAGCAAGAAGGGTAGGGATGAATTCCACATGGATATCAAAAAATCAGGAGCAATTCATAGCAATTCCATATATAATGTGTAAGACTAAGATTCAAATATCCCCTGCCTGACAAAGGTCTCTTGGATGGCATGTGCCATAGGATGGCACTTGGGGTGATGCACTGAACTCTCTCATCATCACCATGGGTCATACGGTCAATTTGCTGGGAGATATTCAAAGTACCACGGTGCTTGGCAGTGGTGTAGATGTCCAAAGCCTCACAAGCAAAATACGCATTTATCATAATAATTCTATGTGCCTATTGCCTACTATTCGCAAATACCATGATTCATATTTTGCTACTTTACTGCATTCAAGAAGTCAAGTCACATGAAGTGGCCGCTGGCATGTGAAATAATCCCGGGCTTCTTTGCAAGTCTTGAGCTGGTGTGGGTCGACCTTGACAGCAGTTAGACTGATATCAACGTTTTTGAAGTAAGACTGATCACACATTACCATGTCTCACCGGGGCCTCCAAGCGCTTCATGGCAGCCCAGTGTTTTCCCAGCCACCGCGGTTTCTTCACAGTTGGCCTCAGCACGGCATTGTTGTTTCCATCGTATCAGGAAGGGTTGTACTCTTAAAGTTATTATATATGTCATTCCTCTTTGAACTGCAATGTGGAAAAGAAAGTAGTGCAGCTAAAAGTCTTCTTGGTAAGATCATACTCCTGGCTTTCCCGTGACCTTTTCCTGGAAGTTTCACTCCTGACCCTGTTTGTGACGGCCTTGAGGTAAGGGCACTCCTTTGGTAGCATCAGCTCCGACCTTAGCAGGCCAGGGAGAACAGAATGGAGTTGTGTTGGGGTCGAATGACAACTATTTCTTTTATCATACTTTGAATGGAATCATGTTGGAGTCGAGTGGCACAGATATTCCAAGAGGAACATTTGTGAGATCTTTGTACACCTTCTCACAATGCTGTTCCAAAGCCTCGTGGTTCTTCAGCATGTTCGAAGCCACATCCCTTGGACACTGTACTGATTGATGGTGGCACCATATTATGCTATATAACATCGATGGTGTTCAAAGTCATTAATTACGCTGTTTGTCAAAGCCTGGCCTTCTGATCATGATTATATATATTCTCCTTCTGCATGCTGGATCTCCCAGATGGGAACTGTTGACCTTGACGAAGGCCACCAGATAGCGCTTTCTCACCTTTTCCATTGCGCTCCACATCTGAGCGGCAGGTTTCAACAATTACTTTATGAAATTGGCGGGGTATACACATCAGAATCCTTTGTGCAGTTAGTATGTATGCTTCTTAGACTAGTTGTATGTATCTACTGGTAGTCGTTCTCTTAATTCAGCAGAAATTGAATGCACCAAGACTTGGCCTTCTCTTTCACGGCCAAAACGCCATAGACATTCTCAAGCAATGCTATCAAAGGCCCAGTCCTCAAAGGATTGGCATGGCACTGGGGCTGGGCTGGACAGTGAATTGGCAACAGCTGGGTTCTCCTCAAAATTGCTTCCAGCGTAGCCCAGAATGGCTTTGCATCTGGTTCGTCCATCAGTCTGCTGTTTCGCCGAAGTCGGCTATACCTTGAACCCATGCGCCCAACATAAAGTGAAATTTATGAGGTCTCAGTCTAAAAATGCATATTTTGTGGAAAGCAATAAAGGCCACCAACAAATAAAACTTATTATTATGCTACTGAGAAACGGTTGACACGGAAATCCACAGCTGTACAGCCTTGGGTCCAGTCCTTCGTAGTCCCGTGAGGCCATCTCTGTGAAGAGCCTAAGCGAGGGATACTGAGTGATAATTGGGCCCTGGGGTAACTATCAATAAAGAGGGATACTATCTTAATGGGGGATCACTATCAATAAGGGGGGATACTGAGTGAGAATAGTCTGCTAGTCAGTATTGGCAGTGTCACAAGTACTGCAATGCAAGAAACTTCCCTGGAGGTGCATTCCGAAGAATGAACTTCAGGGGGGCAAGTGCTCGATCAGTTGCCGCCACAACTTTGACCTTAACCGCAAGTCAATCGGTTTTTCCCACTAGTTACACTGACTAGCTTTCATAAATATGATGTATTTTTATGACAAGTGCTATTTGGTATCCAGCCTTCTCTTTGCCAGCCAGCTCATGCAACGCCCATAGAGCTCCATCCGCTCCACAACCTTGCAAGACATGTCAGTGTGATTCAATGTGGCACTCTTTGGGTAGTTTCTATTGGTTTCTCTCTGCGAGGTTGCAATGAACAGGATGGTGCCACAGCGAGTAAGTGTCACATTGCGTGCCTAGAGACAGTCTGACATAAGACTGAACGGCACTGGCAGCATGTCAAGAATCTTCTGAACTCCTGAGAGGGAAATTCATCATACAAAACGGGATGAGTTTTGAAGAACATTGTATTGAGTCTTCAGGTCACATTACACTAACCCTGCCATTGTGCTATCAAAGATTCCCAGACCAGCTCGTCGACTCATATCAGCCCCCCAACCCTCAAGATGCTGCTTGTGCCGGCGATGAACCATTGCAGCTGGAAGGACTGAAGCATACCTTGGACGGGAAAAAATGTGAGCAACCAGTGTCAGGCATACACTGGCATGGCACATGGTTTATTTTGTAAAAAACAAGTTGTGAGTTCAAAATGTAATTGCCATCAAATAATGAATCTTTTATCGTATCTGAATTTGCTTCAAGGGTACAATTGCTCTTTAGCAATGAGATGGTTTTTCTCCCCCTCAGGCACAGATTCACCACTGGTACTAGAGTCAGACTCAGAGTAGTAGGAGGAGTAGGTCTCGGTGTAGGTCTCATAGCTCTCATAGCTCCCATGGCTGCCATCCCCAGATGAATCCGAGGACATGGGGCCACTGAGCATGAAGGGGCTACATCTAGTAGATCGGGCTTTTGTTTAGAGTTCCACTTGTCAATGGCAAAAGTTTCACTTATCATGGCATGCCCTTACTTCAGGTGGTAGAATAGGAATTTCAGTGTATGGAAAATTTGGTACATCATTGGTTTTGGTTTGAAAAACTTGGCGAACCGTGGTGTCGACATTGGTAGTCGGTGAGACCATGTCGAGCAGTTCCTTCGAAACGATTTCACCAGGGTCCAATAAATTAATAAGCATGCAAGCTCTCTTCCATGACAGGGGGTTCTTGAATCCTTTGGTGTGGATGTCAGCGGCCATTTTAGAAGTAACTTCATACATCAATACGTAGTTCTCCCTTGTAAAATGTTCATGGAGGGATGTGATGGCTATGCCATGAGTCCTCTCAAGATGCCGCATAGTGGGGTTACGACCCGACCTGACAACACCGATCATGCCCTGATTGTCGTCGTGAAACAATAATTTGGGCGATCTCCCTGTCAAAGTTTCCCAAATACTTAATGCAGGTAAACCCATCGTTCGAAGTGTGACATCTGCTGCCACGATCTCAGCCTCAGGTGTGGAATGACTTACGCATCCCTGCCGTTTGCTGCCTCCAGACAACGGGAAGCGGGTTTGTTTCCCCTGTATGTGCATATGAGACCCGGATGTTGATCTCAAAGTTTGTGCACAACCTGCAAAATCCGCATCTGCGAATAAAGACAGTGATAAGTCATCAAATTTGTTGCCAACCCATCCAGTCATACGTTTTGATAAACTTGAGTTGACATAGCACATTAGATGATACAACTTAGCGTCATCCTCGACTGTCCATTTGGTCACATTCCTGGCCAAAGAATTAATAGACCGTAGCAAGTCGAACCGCGCGATCCTGGCAGCGTAAAGCAACTTCATGAGCACGCTGGCAGCATGCGGCGCCAAGGCGCCTCGTGCAGACTCCCCAGAAAAAGACGTCTTCCCCTGTGGTCCCGGGTTTGTAGAACTCCGGAGCGTCTGGATCAAATTCGTGCGAACACCAGGGACAGGATACCTTCTTCTTGGGATCCCCTGGACATGGTGCCCTTGATTTGTGTTTCTTTGTTTCTTCTGGTAAACTTGGTGTTGATACATGTTTCAATTTTGTATCTTTCCCAACAATTTCAAGATACCTTTCAACTGACAGTTTCAACAAACCTTCCATATCGTAGGTCATAGTTGACACCGGGGTACCATCATGAAGTTTGGAAGATCCCTTACTCAATATGCATCCCAAATAGAGTCCCAAATCAGTTTCAGGCTCAATGTTCAGCTTAGAACGTAGCATCTCCCATCCTTTAGTCAGGTTCTCTTCCGGACCAGCCAGTTTCAGGTCATCAACATAAATAACCAATAATAATTGAAGCTTCTTGTGAAAGTACATTGACGGCCATTCCTCGCCAACGGGGATAAAGTCTAACTCCCGTACTTTCCGATCACAATGCTGTTCCCGCATTGTTCCTGAATCAGGATGACCATAGAGTGCTTTAACTAATCTCACTACTGGTCTACGGAACTTCCGGAAGTCAATGTCATCTGGCCATGCATCCTCGGGTAGTTCTACCCAACATGGTGGTCCTGTGAGGACTGCTTGAATATAGGCTTGAATGGCATCTGCTAATTTCACACCATGGCCCGGCAAACACCCATAAAAATCTGCCCATCTCGACGCCTCAAAGGTTGCAGGTGAGTTGCCCAGGTCTTGGAAGAAGGCAGCTTCCCAGAACTGGTTCTTTACCTGATTGCCCAGCAAAACTCCTCGTCCTTTGAACTTCCTGCTGGGATTCCCTTTAGGCAACTGATAATTCTTCTCAACGCAGATCCCATGGATCCTGGCCATGTGCACCTCGGTGCCATTCCTCTTTGCCTCTCGAACAACATCATCGTACTCCCTGACCACGCTGAAGTCATACACTCCAGCAGCATGTTGACCTAGCCATTCTTTTCATGGCCTTCCTAGCTTCTTCATTTTCCATCATCTCTTTTCTGGCAACTGGTCTTGCCACAGCCGTGTTGAACATTTTGTTGATGTTGATCCCACCATCATTTGTTGTAATCTTATCTCGATGATGATCATGTTGATGGATACACGGCATACAAGGGAATGAATGGAAATTTGTGTTCTGACTTGAAGGCTCATGGACATTGGGTCCGGTATCATTCAATGTGGCTGTTGCTACTACCTTCCCCTGGCTAAAGTCGTACATGTGCTCATTGTGCCAAGTAGCCTTTGGGCCGCGCCCACTTTCAACCTCAGACCACTCGTCCCAGTCGATGAGGAAATCGTCATCAGCAGGGACATCGGTGTCGGATGATGAAGAAAGTGCTTCATGACTGGTGTTGGTCCCGCTCCCGATGGGAGTTGAGGACGTTTTACCAAACTGGAACACTTTCCCCTTACGGACATGATCTTGTGGTTTGGCTACCCCTGTAATGTGGTCATCTTCTTCACCTTTGGGTTTCGGTTTAGATGATTTCTTATCTTCTTTCTTCTTCTTCTTGTCTTCCCTCGCCTTGATCAATGCGCCGCTCTTCTTCTTCTCCACTTCAGCCTCCGCTTTCTTCTCCTCAGCCTTGGCGATACTTTTCCGAACATCAGGTGATATCTTTCGCCATTCTTCTGGAGAATACTTGGATGGTCTTGTAGTGGATGAAATTCGACGACGACCGCGTTCATCAATTCGATAGGGATGGCCACGAGAATTCAGTTTAGCCCATTCACCATCATCATTCAGGTAGACAATTCCATCACCAGCCTTCCCTACGGAGTAGTGATCAGGACCTCCTTCAGGAATATCAAGGTCAGGGTGAGCAGGTTTGTCAATACCCGGCGGTCCCATCCTGGCTGGACTGTCGAATCTGCCCAGCAGTCTTTCAGCTTCACGTTCGCCTTCAGACTTTTCTGGCAGGACCTTCGATGAAGGTTGCCCACCATCATCTCCTCCGTTGTCATCATCATCACCGTCGTCATCAGGAGGAGGTGGTGGTAACATCTCAGAGTTCCCATCCAATCTGTCTTTGACCTTCAGACCTTCAATGGTGACATTGATTCTTTCGTACTCAGCTTTACAAGGGAATTCCAAGGGTTCCTTCAATTCAACCTTTTCGGTGTAGTGTGGTGTGCGTAGCTTTGCAATTGGCTTCTCAGCATCATATGCTAGGTTTTGTTTGGTCCAATCACATAGAGCCCACACGCGATACTTCCTTGACCAATGTAATCCCGGCCCCAATGAATACCCAGCAAATACTCCAGGAATACCCATTGGATCAAACTTATGTTGTCGTTCTCTGGCTCGAGCATCACTTGGTTTGAAGTACACTAATGCACCAAAAGGAATCATCTTTCCCTTGAATTCTTCCACATGAAGCTTGCACCAAGAACTAACCTCATCATCATTGGGTTCGATGTTGAGCAAGTGACTGACACATCTAATGGCGTACATCCAAAAGCATGGAGGGATGCCGGCCTCAAGTAGACATGTCGTAGTTGCTACCAACACGAACTGGTTGGTCCTCTCTGCAAGGGAGTTGTGCTTGGTCTTTCCGGCCAATGATGTATCCATGGGAATCTTCAAAGCTTTCATGGCCTTGTCAAACTGAGGTGCATCATCCGAGTATGCTTCACGGATCTTTCGTCGACCCATGAATTGCTTCACAGCTCTGATCACCGCATCGGTGTCCTTTCGAGCAGATGGGTAAGACTGTAGCATTCCTGTGTATCGATCACGAATAACGAAGATGGTCTTGTCATCACCATAGTCTTGTTCTGCAATTCGACGGTTGTCGACATAGTCAAACGTAATCAAGTCCCCGAACTTTGTGAGTTTGCGCTGAAATGCTCCTCTAAAGGTCTTCCTATGCTTCATC